AGAGACGGGCAGACAGACAGAGACAGACACACACACACACACACACACACAGACAGAGAGAGAGAGAGAGAGAGAGAGAGAGAGAGAGAGAGAGAGAGAGAGAGAGAGAGAGAGAGAGATGGATATCAAAAATGTGAGCTTGAGAGCGTTACTGGCACTAGTACATTCTCGACTGGATCTGGCCTTACGTTGTGGCGCATACACATGCACGAAAGTCCTGTCCCAAACCTTTTCTGAGTTTTGGTAAGTGCCAGTGTGATTACGCTGGCACACACTGGCACTTCCCAGAACTCAAAAAAGGTGTCGCACAGGATTCTTATTCGTTGGTCGATGTAGGGCGATACTCCCACGCCGCGCTTTCCCAATCTTTTCCGTGGGGAACAAAGCGCTCTGCGCATTCTTTGCGCATTCTCGTTCTTTGAACTTTCCTGTGCGAATCTGGCCTTAATTCTTCTTGGAACTTCACTGTCCGGATCTGGCCGCAATACTGGCTAGATTCGGTTGAACTAGTTACTGATGTGCGTCGGGTGTCAGAGTACTCCTCATTGGTATTACCTCTCTCTCCCTATTCCATTCATTTTCTTTCATTTTCCTTCCTTTGTTAAAAAAAAAACAAAAAAAAAAACAAAGAAGGGCCCCGGCCTTAAGATATGTTCATCTGAGGGCATACTCACACGGCGACCCCAAATCCTCAATTTCGGAAGGGCCGATTTGAGGTTTTGGGCATGGTTCACGTCACACTGCTGTGCCTTTTCAGATGGGACAAGGTCGCGGCCGTCTGGAGAAGTGGGGATTTGGTACTTGGCTGGTCATACGGCGCCATCCACTAATTGTTTTTTTTTTTTTGTGAAGGGCGATGGCCTTGAGGTATTATCATCGGACTAACCAGCCCAGGTAAATTCAATCTTGTGTCTAATCTGACAACGGTGGCCTTTTCGGCCCAGGGTGGCCTGATAGCCTTCAGGGATCCCCCACTGGGGGGCACCGGCCATGGGACAGCCGGTAGCAGAGGGACCGAGCATCATCTGAGTGGCCAGTCGCTGTGCCTCCCTGAGTACCCCTAATTGTGCAAGAACTTTTGTGAACGAATTTTTGCTAATTTTCGAAGAAAAATGCAACAAATGAAAAAGGGCATTTGCGGTCACCTCCAGAGGTGACCACAAGGGATCCCTTGCCCCGCCGCTTCCCAGGCCGCTGACAAATGGGTGGGCACAGGAATACTACATTTGCGGATTTGGTAGATCCGTGTGACCGCCCTTTTACCCTTTTTTTTGGGATTTTGGGGTTGAAGGTCCCCGCGTGAGTATGCCCTGAGAGCATCTGGATTCGAACCTGTTTTTTTTTTTTTTTTTTTTTTTTTGGAAGATAGTATATTTCATTCCAAAAGAGAGACAGGGGCCCAGGAAGACTCTCCCGACAATACAACCCGGGGCCAAGTCCCACTAGCAGCGTTGAGCTACCTCAATGCCTGAATCTGGACGTGTCTGTGGAGACGTGCAGTTCAGGATTCTCAACACCATACCTGCACATCTCCGCAAAAGCGTCCAGATTCAGGCGTTGAGGTAGCTCAATGCTGCTAGTGGGACTTGGCCCCTGAACTGCACATCTCCCCAAAAACGTCCAGATTCAGGCATCGAGGTAGCTCAACCCTGCCAGCGGTGCTTGGCCCCCGGGAAGTTCATTCTC